TCTTTGTGTCAAAGCAAGGTTTCTGTGCCTTCCTTCTCCCGAGCCACGGGAGGGTGCATTGAAGCTAGTGCCCCCCCCCCCCCCCACAAACGCACACACGCACACACGCACACGTTCCATTGCTAGAAACACTGCGCTGTCGCGTTTTCCGAGAATTCCCTTTCTCTCCCTGGCTAGCGCCTCCTTCGCCGCGAACCCGCATTTTGTGTGACCGTGTTAGAAGAGCAGATATAATTGCAACGCCCTCCTTCCAACGTTGTTTTTTTGTTGTTTTTTTTTTCCGCTGAACGGTGTAAGTGTAATGAGTAATTTTGAGGAATTCGTTACTCAGAAAGTAAGGGGATTACTTTAGAAGTTACATTTCCTAATAAGTAATGGATTAATTACTAAATTACACAAAATCTAACGGATTACAAGTAATCTCGTTACTTGAAACGGATTACTTCCATGTCTACCGGCGAGGAGTGTCAGCGGAGAAGCGGGGAGCGCGCTCGCCGTCGAGCGGGCTCACCTTTACGCATGCGCGATGAATGACGAGCGCCTCGCATGTCATACGGGGATACGAATTAGCGCTATTGCTTGCGCTGATTCAAGCCTATCGCGGCTGCGAAAACTTACTCCCTAATTGCGCGTTCACACTGGAATCCGCAAACACGAAGCGGATCCGCACGTTCCCAACCGCAAAGCGGCTGTGATCGAGCGGTTGGAGCACGTTTTTGCCAACCGCTTCGGGACCGATTTGCCTTAACCGCTTTCGCGAAATGGCGAAGCGGCAGCCAATCGTAACGCGACGCTGATGCGACGTCAGTGGCTCTCGAAACAAGATGGCATCTGTCGCTGGGATGGTGTCCAAGTCCTAGCCTTGAATCAGACAAATAAACGAAGAAACCTAATGTACACCTCCGTCACTTGAATCCCCCGTGAAATGACTTGACTCGCAATCTTAACGGGGTTCGTTCCGGTGATTTGGTTAAGGTAAGAGTATGTTTATTATTCGGGTTGCCGAAGGCCCGTCGCTCGCTGTCTTTTTAGTATTCGCCCGTAGAACTTCGGTACCCGAACCTGATCGGCCGAAATTACAGCTTTTGTACTCACTAAAACAGTCACGTGAACTACTCAAAGCTTTCGACCCCGTGCATGATTAGCACGAAGGCCGATAGAGATGTCGTGAGTCTAATTGCCTTGCAAACACACTACCATGGAGCTGGCAGAGAACCTGCACTAGCTCGACCTATAACGTTTACTACTACCAAAAAGAATAAAAGGAACCTACTCAATAAATAAAGTGTACGTACCAGACAATGCATAGGTAATTCCTACGGCATTTATTCGAGCATAATATCAAACAGTAGACTTCATCGATGTGCGAGTTACGAAAGGAAAGTCCGCCACCAACCAAGCCATGACCGGCTAGCACCGAACACATTTCCCGCACCACGGTCCACCAGTGCCGCTCTCTACTCCGAAAGTGGTAAAAGCAAACGACGGGAGATGACAGACTGACCCATTATCCCGAAAACAAGGTCAGTAATTCATGCGGGAAGCATCCACTTCGAAGAAAGGGTCGGGGACATTCTCTTCTGAGTCAGAAAGGGGCGTCTAGCTGGGCTTTGCTTGTGGGCGAAGTCGAGGCAATCGCAGCCTAGTTTTGTGAGTCCATGTCACTTATTTCACCGCTTGAACTCGTGATGCGTGTGAAAAGCCTTATAAAAAATCTTCAAGAGTGCCAGAACGGCTCAATTTAGGCTTTGGATCGTTCATTAAACTGGATTCTGGTCTGCAAAACAGGATTGCCAAACCCGCGATCGCCGAGAAACCGCCAACCGCGTTTCGTTGTGTTTGAACAGGGTCGCTCGCGAACCGCCTCCGCAACGGCTTTGCAAACGCAGCTGGACCTCCTGTATGAATGCGCCACAAAGAAGGTAACATCTCGCTTGTTTTATTACTTTGAGCGTTTAGGCGGTAATGCACGGTCAGAAAGGAAGCAGACAAGCTCCCTCGCGCAAAACTCGCGCTCCGGGAAAGTAAACGTTTGCCGTTCCCTCCTTTTTTGTATCTTTTTTTTTTAAGAGTAGCCCAATTTACACTCGTCAAATATTTACCCAGGCACCACTCAGTAGACATCGTATCACCTCCTGACGTTCTATCTCTTCGAGTTCGCGCTTGACCGCGTCCCTCACCGGCATGTGGGAACTCGACGCGTCACATGAACCGAATGCAGAACAGAGTCCGGCTTAAGGCGTATAGTGCACTTTCCGGTGAAAGTTCCTACAGCCCATGGAACAGCTGAGGGTAGCGAGACTCATAAGCTTCGCTCCATTTCACTCCATTCACAAATTTTACTACTCCTAGTTCCTCCACCGCTGGAAGTCCCTATAGTACTGAGCTCAACGACGCAACTACGTATACGGTCTGATTTATCATTGACTCTTTCCAGTGGATGTTTCCGGTGAATTCTCCTAGAACATTCAGGCGTTCGTCGATATGACGGTCAAGATAGCCTCTGTTCTTCTTAGTCTTGCCGGGATACCAGCAAATGTAGATGGCCCCACAGATACCTCTGCGCCCGTGTCTACCTTCGCGAAAACAGGAGTCCCGAAAATGAAAACATGGATGAACCTGGCTTTCGCGGAATCATTGCCAACAGAACCGAGGAAATGCACCCCAATGTCCGTTTGAACTTGAAGCGATAAAAGTCCTACTTTCCTAGAAATGACGATTTTTTTTTTCGGCAGATTAAGCTGAAGTGTTGTTTCACGTTGCAGTGGTGACACTTCGCTTACTTGGCTGGACAGGCCGACCTAGGGAGCCTTCATGTGCGCTTTGCTAAGCGCACATGAAGGCACTCTAGGCCGACCTTAGATGCGACGCTTGCCCGCAGAACAAACATCACTGGCCGCTGCCTTGTCGAGGCGTTGCGATGCCCCAACGAGTTGCGCCTTGCGTCTTGTGCCGACCCTGTGTCAAGCTGGGCTTTTTGGCGACGAAGTCCACTTCGTTTCCGCTGCCGAGATAACTGCGTTGTCACCGGCCCCCAGTCGAAGTTCCTACTGTTGCTGGTGAACAGTTTCCTTGAGTCGTGCTTTGGCGAGCGCGGTCGCCAGCGTGAAGTCTGCATCCATCTGGAGGGTTTCGGAGAGCTCCGCGTCCCGAAGTCCGACGACAAAGCGGTCGCGAATCATCCGCTCCTTATAGTCTCCGAAGTCGCACCTCTCTGCCAGAGTGTGCAGAGCCGTGACACATTGGTCAACGGACTCGCCTGGCTTCTGGCTGCGGCGGTGGGAACAAGCGCTTTCATGCACAATGTTGCGGGCTGCGACAAAGTGACAGTCGAATCGTTCTTTGACGACCTGGTCGTCAAATAAATCTTCGTCGGCTGACAAGCCAATTTTTTGGTAAATTGCCCTTACCGATCGCCACCATGGTGTACAGCAAAGTTCTTACTTGGGCTTCCTCGCTGCGCTCGTTCAAGCCACACGCAAACCGGTACTCGTCGAAAGCATGCGACCATGCAGGCCATTCCGCCGTTTTGTCGAAATGAAGGCTGGAGGCTGCTGGACAGTGACCATGCCCGATGAAGGTGGCTTCCGCTCGTCAATTCCCATGCCAGTTGAACTGCGGAATCAACTGGACTCTTCTGACAACATGTCGCGATGGGCCCCGGCGCGGGCCAACAACGCTAGACAGTCACGGTTAGATCGCGGAGACCAACCAAAAAGCCTCCTCCTTTATTCGTCGTCCTTCAATATATACACCTGGGCGCCTGACAACAGGCCGCGATCTTTCTCGAACGTCACGTCATCGTTAGTCGATCCGATCAGCTTTTGGATTCTGATTTAGCGGCGCATCCGCACGCTGGCTGACACGAAACACCATGAGACTGGAGGCGGCCGCATCCGCTCGTTAACACCACAGAAGGGTCATGTTTTTCTAACATGCTGACCTCTCGCTTCTACCGGGAACTACAGTGCCTGTCTTTTTGCCAGAGGGCAACCTGCAATCCTTACTGTTCGTCGCCCAAGAATGCGCTTTCCGGAGATATCTCATGAAACTTGCTGGGCGCGGATCTTCAAGGTCGCGCACCAGTTATCTGAGCTGAAAACTACAAATACTCCCGCGATAGCCATTCGAAAGCAGTTGAACCTCTCTATGTTGTGAATAAAAGGTATTCAAAGCTTCGAACTCGGGTCGTATGTCTTACTTTGCCTGCGAATGTGGGAGGCCGGTTCTTCTGTTAAGTTCCGCGCCAACATGTTATAAATCAGCCTCTTATATACTTCCGCGTTTTTGGTTGTTACAATTCATGTGGAAACATGAAGAAACGGAGTTCTGATGACTTATATCATCAGAACCCCGCTTCCCCTACAAAAGCGAACGCAGCAGAAGGGGAAGGTTTCTTTCGAAACTCGTTTGCCAATGGACGCACCTCCGTGTCTTATGGCGATGATGAGCTTTCGCGGTACCTTCTGGTGCCACACAAATTTACATTGGCGGAAACAGTAAACAATTTAGCTCGCGAATAGAAAGTAACGAAAAAGTAACCGCATTACTTTTTGTCGGTAACGGTAATCCGTTCCTTTTATTATCAGGTAACGTAGGCCCGCAATGCGTTACTTTTATTTGAAAGTAAGGAATAACGTATTTCATTTTTTTTTTTTTGGTAACGCCTAGAACACCCGTTCGGCTGGAACTCATGTGCAATCAGTGTGAAAACAAGCTCAAGCCGCAAACACCGACGCGACACTGACGTCAAAGAATAAGACCATCGCTGGCCCTCTGTGTTCGACGATACTAAACTCAGCCCTGCGGCCATTGTATCTATGGCGGTGTTGGCCTTGCGGTGTAAGGGGAGGTAGCCAAATCACGGGGGAGGAGGATAGAGAAAAAAAAAGAGGGGAGATGTGCACGTAGAAAAAGAAATTGTGAAAAGTGTGTGTGGGCATTTAAATCATGTTTTAAGATTGCTCTTCTTTTTTCCTTTTTTTTTTTTTTACTTGCAGAGCTTGGTGCAGTCAGCCATGGACGGCTACAACGTCTGCATCTTTGCGTACGGGCAGACAGGCTCGGGAAAAACGTACACGCTGACGGGAAACTCCAACACGGAGCAACTGGACGCCGAGGGCATAGCGCCGCGTGCATTTCGGAGGATCTTTGAACTGGTTCGAGGAAACGAGTAGGTCATCAACGGCGCTTTGCGTTCACTGCGTAGGCCAGCTTGCCTGTTAGTCAAGCTAGTACTCGTGAGCGATACTTTAAGCCGCTGTCACAAAGCTTAAAGATCAAGAAAGGTCAGTATGCAGAAACTGTCTTAGGTGTATTCCTTCTTTGCACGATGGTCCTGTCACGTTGCTCATAGAAATTTGGCTGTCTGGAGACATGGTCGAGGAATATATATGCATGCACAAAAACTTGCTTCAGGCATGATTGAGGCGGATCTGCTGGGAATTTTGTCGTGGTGTCTGTAGCTAACACTGTGAATTTTGTATGATTTATGTGCAGCGGGACGTCCAGTTAGGCCAGCACCCACGCGATTAAACAGCGCTACAAAAAGTAATATAAAGTTAGCAATATAAGTACGAGAAAAAGTCACTTATAACATTGCCGGAATTTATTTGTTTATTTATTTATTTACTGTTCCCTGAGGGACCTTGACAGGGCATTACACGTGGGATGGGCGACACGAGATGTAAAATAGTATAAAAAGTTAGTAGAAGGCAAAATACAAAATGTACGTTCGCAAAAACAAACAAATAAATTGACTAGAAAGTACAAATGTCAATACATCTAGAAATATCAATGCAAGTAGTCAGTAAAACAAGATAAGTGGTACTATATATAGTGCTCTTCAATGACAACTGCAGATGTCAATTCATGTACAATACAAATACTCGAAAAACGAGATAATTTGCACTTTGAGTGTTACCTTTAAATATCGGAAAGGTTAGTGTAATGTTAGGTAGGTAGCTAGAATCTTTTTGAAACAATCGGCGTTTCGTTTAGTGACTATGAAGTCTGGTAAGCCGATACATCTCGAGACCATCAGGAGGATCGATGAGTTGGCATACAAAGGGATCAATGCATTGGGTTCAATTTTACTCGAGTTGTCTAATTTTGAAAAAAAAATGCGACTGGTGGGAGAAAAAGTGCATATTTAAGTGTTAGGGTAAGGTGGTAAATTTTATACAATAAAGTTAGCCAGGATATTCTACGCCGAAGGTTAATTCCGCACTATTTGCTCGTTTCTGCCACCTCGTGATGCTGGTATAGGGAGAAAACTCGAAAAAAATTAATCTTAGGGCCCTGTTCTGAACTTTTTCTAAATCATATGTCATGTAATTTTGCCACGGGGACCAAACAGATGAAGCGTATTCTAGTTTGGACAGCACAAATGATTAATATGCGTTCTGTCTTACTATTGGGGTGGCTAGTTTAAGGTTTCGCTTGAGATATACCATAGAATAAGTTGCTTTGACAGTTCTGTGGTCGATGAGGGTTCCCATGGTAGATCGTCTGTAATATCTGTACCGAGATATTTAAAAGATGCAGTTCTCTCAAGGGTAGTGCTGTTAATGCTATGCGGAGGGCAAGTTCGTCTGCTTTTTCGCAGGGGGTAGCGGTGACGTCAGAACGCCGAGCCCTGATTGGCTGATCACGACCCCCTATCTGAGCGTTGTCTGTTCCTTTGCAACGTCGTCTGCGTCTGTCTTACCTTTCCTGCGACTCTTGAAAGTGCAGAGGCCAGGTTCACAAAATTGATCTTACGCCAAAAATATGCGTAAGACAAAAGTTGAGAACGAAATCATGTTCACGAAACTAAATTTTCGTAAGGTTATGACGAAATCCTACGACAGCTCCGAAGCTGTCTTACGCACTTGTTACGATCAAATCAGCATGGCCGACAGCGTCGCGGTCGCGACGACCCACGGACGTTTATTTTTTTACATGCGCTTCTCGCGCGTCCCGACTTCAAGCAGCAAGAAAAAAGTCAAAAGTACTTGAAACAGACCACGACGAACAAGAACGATGGATCCACATACACCCGGGAAAAGCTCCAACGGCCACGATTCCACCGAACGCGACCAAGCGAACACGGCAGTTAGGCCTAGCAGGCACTCCGCGACTCGGCGACCGTCTGCCCACGACCGGCTGGCGTGCTGAATGGAATATGCCCGCGCGACCCTTGTGAACCCTTCCCGTGTTATATGTTGATCGCTGACCTCAATTTTAGATTAAAAGGTCAATTTCTTCCTCTTGTTATCTCCTTGTTTCCCGAGGCAACGGTGACTCTTGCCGGTGAAAAAGCGGTGAATCTCCGACAGACGCAGGAAAGGTAAAGCAGCCATCGCTTTGACTAGCAGACGTAAAATAGACAACGTTGACTGCGTCAACCTGCCGACGCCGTTGAAGAGTGAGGAGTCTCGCCGCACACAAAAGAAGGGAAAAGGTATTTGGGAGGGAACTTGCGGACCCTCACTCTCAGTTCTTAGCAAACAAACCTCGGCGCCTCGGGACACCTCGCCAGTGAGTCCTTTGACTTCCCTCCTTGATGCGCGTCTGCTAGTTGTTAGACAAAAACAACGTACCGCTCGAGTTATTTCGTCTGCCCTCTCTGAAAAACGAAGTCGAGCTCGCTCGTAAATACCTGGCACTTCCGAAAGTCGCAGGAAAGGTAAGACAGACGCAGACGACGTTGCGAGCAGACCGAGCAGACGACGTTGCAAAGGAGCAGACGACGCTCAGATAGGGGGTCGCGATCAGCCAATCAGGGCTCGGCGTTCTGACGTCACCGCTACTTCCTTTCTCATGCGCAGAAGACGAAAATGAGCCCACTTGCGAGGCGTATAGACCTTTTCACCCTCCGCCGCATGGGCGCTGCCATCTTGGAATCACGTGATGCGGCCGCCATTAGGTTGCTTCAACTTGTTGCTCCGCTCTCCCGTCGGCGCCTTGGCGGATGCGTTGAATTCGTGTTTTTCGTCGCCTTTCACGGCGTCTCTTGCCTTACTCCGTAAAGTGTCGTCCGATACTTATACTTATCATGCAATTGCATTACATCATTATGGGCGCAACTTCTGTAGTTGATTTTGTAACACGTTTTGAATATTGTTTACCGTCGGCGTGCGGGATACGTGTGAAAAGGTTTTATAGGAACAGGAATCAGCGTTATCACTTGCGCGCATTGAATACATATATGACTTGAAGAGAGCCTCGAGGGTTCAAATACCAATAACTTATGAGAACTGAGGTTTGGTTACTAATAAGGGCAGAACATTTGCAATAGGAAGCCCAATGTTATTATATATATGAGTGCGCATTGGTGTGAAGGAAGAAAACAAAAACACTCAGCGTAATTAGCCACGTGTTTTTCCTGAAAACATGGTGTTTTGTGGTTACAACAGATCGAAAACAGTTTCTTTTGATTACACTATAGTGTAATCAAAGGACGCCTTGTCCACTAGTTCTCTATAGAGAACTAGTGGACAAGGCGCGGGAAGAAACATTTAGTTTGAATTATTTTTTATGCTAGAAATAATGGTACCTTAACATTAGGCAACTTGTTTGTTCGCAATATCACACCTATAGCTGTTTTACGTTCTTAATCGCGTGTGTGATGTAAGCATTCGCTTTATCGGTTTGTTTATGAATTCCACGGAATACTAGATCGTACTTGATCCCATGTCCATAGTTTTTCAGTTGCTTAAGTCATTTTTTAATATAACCATGCAGTTTCAATTAATTTATTTCTACACAAATATTTGACCTCCCCGCGTAAGAAACTGCCACAGACAGCTTGATAGTGCCTATGATTCATAAAATGTGACGCCGAAAAGAATCCTTCTGCATGAAAATCAGCCGAGTGCAGCCGGTTGTTGACTTCGAATAGGGAGTTACTTTCAGTAGATGGCGACGTCAAAATGTGCAAAGCGCATCGTTTCAAATCAGTGAACACCTTTCTACACAGGCCCATTGGGCGGCGCCTGGCGTTCGACTTCAGCCAAACTTATCGGAGGTCATTTCTTTTGCGCTCTTCAATTTCCTTCGGCAAATTTTACGGAAGATGAATATCAGACTTTATTTGAAGTCTGGCATTCACTTATCTTACCATTCTCATACCTTGAGAACGTCGTAAGGAAATGTCCATATAACAAGAAGTTTATTTCATAAGGCCAATATGTTGAAATGCTGTTAATGAGAAATTTAGAAAAGAAATTTTCTAGTCAGCCTAGGCTGGTCTATCAAAATATTTCTCGAGCGCTTAATTTCTTTAAATAAAACAGGCTGAGACAATATCACATTTTTATATTATCTACCTGATTATATGAAACTTTTCTGTCATTATAAAAGACGTTTCCAGTCTCGAAGTTAGAAAAGGTTGGTGTACGGAAACCAAACATCGAACAGCAAACTTGTCAGTTCATCTGTTCTTGGTGATTCACCAGATTGTTAATCATGTTGTCGACCTGCTTTTTCACTAAGCACTCATGCAATATAGTATGTTGCAATATAAGATGATCAGTTCAATACCTGACTTGAGCGCGAGCTATCTACTTCCGTACCGCTCGGTGCACGCACAGCCAACGCACGGCGGCTGGCAACGAGCGCACGCTGCAGGCGGAGCTTGTCCTGCTCTTTATTTTTCTTTCTTCTTGAAATTAGTGTCCGCGGGTACGGCCGTGGACAATGGTACTTTTCCCTGTGCATTAGCGCAGTTGTTTCACCGCCGAACCTGGCCGAAATTAATGATGGACGGAATCAGACGCACAGAGTGTTAGTAAGAAAAGATCGAAAATTAGGCTCGAAACCACTTCGTGGTTTGCCAAGTGGCTCAATACTATTGTTTCATTCGCTGCGTGCCACTAGAAAGAAATACATATCGCAAAATTAATCGAAAATGGCATGAAATAGCATCACAATCGCGTGTACGTTGAAACCGAAACCGATCAAATTGAAGCAACCTAATGGCGCCGAGTGCGCCAGCGCCCTCTACCCGCCGGTCAGGCAACTACTGAAATGAAAAGGTCCATAACATTAGGTAGAAGTAATGGAAAGGCAGAAAGGTGATAGCACTTTACATTATCTAAATTGAGGGCCATCTGCCATTGATCCAACACCATCAAGAACAACGAAGGCCTGCCGAACGCACCACTCTCCTTTCATGAAACGTCACCAGAGTCGGATGGCGCTGCCTCGGCTGTTGGGCCCGAGTCCGACTTTCTACGCGCTGATTGGACACGAGCCCCAGCCGAACACTGACGCAGCACTCGTGCCCAATCTCACGCCTCGATCGATCTGACTGTGTTGACAGCACGATCACGGTTCGAAGTCCCTCTTCCTAGGTGGTGTCGATTGATCGCACCAAAGGGCGATGCGTGACAGGTCGCTATGTAGTTGCATGTGGTCATTGTTATCTACAATAGCACGGTAAATGACGCAGTCGTCTGCAAAAAGGCGAATGGTTAATGTAACTGAGGCGGGAGGATCGTTAATCAAGATTTGGAATATTTGAAACACACGGTGAAAAGTTTATCTGTGAAATGTTCGCAGATTGTAAGTGTTTCAGAGCTACCCATAGGTGGCGCCAGTGTGTCCTCTCGTCACAAAGGGTCACTGGCCCTTGCAACGTAATCAATCACATTCAAACGCAAACGTGTGTACCAACCAGCCTTTGAAATAGGCCACATCCCTCCCATCATCGATTCATTTAGAAAATCTTTGCTGTGACTCGTGCGGTGACAAGAGCAAAAGTAGTCTCGGCCATGTGTGGACGTGTTACGTAGCATTACTGAAAGCGTGGGTAGCAGTATGGCAACTAAACGATCGATTCATTGCTTGATTGATTAATTCAGTCCGTTGATCTATTAAAGTTGAACACAATGAGTGACTGTCAAAGCTGCCATTCGTTTGCTTTATATATATATATTTTTTACAAGTGTTCGCGCAACATTGCTGATTGCCCTTTTTTTTGTTTTTTTTTGCCTTCAATTTCATGACAGAGAGAAGCAGGATTTCGTGGTGACTGCAACTTTCTTGGAGCTCTATAACGAACGGTTTATTGACCTCCTCAGAAATGACGGTGACCCGGAGGTAAGCGTCGAAACCTTTTGCGTGAGTCTTGCAAAACAAATGAAACAAATAGGAAAACCCAAATAAAACCAGCAAGCCGACGAAGCGCAGGCATGCATGGTGAAATTGTCAAGGCACAAGGAAAATTGCCTAAATGCATGTGTCGACTCTAGGCAAGAAAATAACCCAGGCTCACACGGGATTCTAAAAACAAAAAGACTATCTCATGGAGTGACTTGTCATTAGAATGACAGTCACTGTCTCGCTGTCTCTCAATCAGTGTTCCGAAGAGGCTCCAAAGCAGGAGCCGAGGATTTCTTCGTTCAGTCGATTCGTGTCGAATCCCACGTCTGAGGAGAAACGAGTGCTCTTTTATTCGTCGTCGTTTCAGCAATAAAATAACTACTTTGCAGGTTGTCACTCAAACGCCATACGAACAAACTTACCCGAGCTTGGGGCGAGAAAACTAGAATCATCAACCGGTGGAAGATACAAAAAAGGGTGACAGGAGGACAAAGTCTCAAACTCAGTTAAAGGTTCATTCAGCTATAGTTTATTCTTCAAATTGGTAAATATACACCAGCTCGCCTGCGCTCTCACGGTAATTTTGTGCTAGACGAACCTTCGCTGCGTTTTTCTTTGCTTCTTCTCTCTCTTTCTCTTTCTTGTGATGTAGTACACTTCGTATCACCGTGTCATAGCAAAGAGTGACTGCTAAGGCGCCTTCCGGCCAATCAGCGACGGAGGAAAAGGACGTGACGGCCTTACCCAAAGGGACGGAGGCGAGAGCGTAACCCAAGCAGTCGGAGAAGAGGGGAAGGAGCAACTTCCCTCTTACCCAAACCTTGTTTTGAGTGTCCCAGACGTCACTTTCGTCCCCCTAGACCGGTGGTCTCAAACTTATTTGAGCGTGGGGACTAGATAGCCCACACAGGAAAGGCCGAGGGCCAACGTTAGACAGGGGGGGGAGTTAAAAATTTACAAGAGAGGAGACCCCGTGCACTATGCTTTTTGTAAACTCAGTTTTACCGGTGACGTAGTTAGATTTGATTTGTCTATATGAAACTTTGGGCCCTGACCTGATGTGATAGTAGGAATTAAAATGACACCTCCCCGCTAACGTGCTGGCACTTTAAGATCAAAAGAGCAAGTATGTACACTGTTTTGCCTGTTGCTTCATTTACCCACGAATTAACCAAGCTACTCATGTATCTTAAAAAACAATTAGTTCATTTGACAGATTTCGCTTCCCTGATGATTGTTCTTGCAACACCCCGAAGAATTACTTGTCTTTTAATGGTGATCTTTTTTTTAAAGGCGATAATCCCGAGCTGGTAGCTTTATCTTTGGCCGTTGCTCCTGCTGACGGAGAGTTCAAGCAGCCAAGATGAATCCTTCAACAAATAGCTCGCGCTTCCAGCCTAGTAGCGTGTTTGGGACCCCTGCCCTAGACTCTGGAGGACTAGACTTTCACTCAAAATTCGTACAAAAGCGGCGCTCGTCTCTCTCTCCCGCCCGTGGCTTAGGACACCACTGCGCGCAACAAGTGAAGTAGAGTATATTGTTGCCTGTCTCTCTCCGACGTGCTGACTAGCTTATTGAGAGCTCATCCTTCCCCATTTGCCCAATTACAGTCAGATAGTGTATAAAAACTTCAAATCTTGGTGTGTGCTTTTTTATTACATTCCTTTTTTCATTAGTCCTAGTGTCCCTATCTGGAGACGTTTTCGTCACGCTATGAAAGAGTATTGCCTATGGTCGGTGACAAGATAAGAATCCAGTGGGTACTAAATCAAAGCTAGCGCAGGCGCAGAACTCTTTCGGGAAAAACGTAACCGTACTTCACCGGTTCGCAGGAAAAGCTGGAAGTGCGCAAGGACTCCAGCGGCCACACGTACGTTCCGGGTGCCACCGTCGAAGAGGTGTCCAACTCGGCGCAGCTCTTGGACTGCTTCGTACGGGCCCTGGGGAACCGGAGAGTCGCCTGCACGCGAATGAACGTGGAGAGTTCGCGGTCTCACTTCGTGGCAACGGTGCTGATCAGCAGCACCAATCGGCTGACCGGTTCTGTCCTCAGGGGAAAGGTAAACTCGAAGGTTCAGCATCGTTTTCGCAGATATCAATCATGTAGTATTCACTCGTATCTTCTGATGGTGTATTCCCAATAGCGCAGAAAACGTAATAATTTGTTCCCCGAAAAAAAGAAAAAGAAAAAAAAAGTTAGCTATTTATAGCCCGAGCACACCTAATGCAGACTCACTTTATGTATAAACACTGTTTGTGTGTGTGTGACCAAGCGATGTAGTAAGGTTGAAAGCTGGGCTGGTTGGTAATGATTGCGCCCGGTCCTTTCACATATTCTTCTTATCTTTGAGTTGGCGCTATTTCGCTTCAGTGTGTACGGCCATCGCCTCCTCTATCCTCATAAAGCCTATCAGTTCGATGACAAAGCCATAGAGTGCCCGGTTGCAGATTTGAAGCGCGAGGATCTGGTAGCATAGAGCCTTTCTCGGGGAGCCTGTAGCTAGCGCCCAGCTTTTGGAACGGCAAGGACCCGAAACATGGTTTTCAAAGCCGACGAGAAGCCGCAGCCCGAGGAACGCGTGGCACGAGCGGACATTCCATCGCTCGGGACAAGTGTGTTTCGGCGTTTCGCCGCAGCGGGGCGCCCGTTACATGCCTCTTGTAGAGTGCCTTCATACACACGCGCGCTTTTGCTTGAGTGGTGACATCTCAGCCATTTTCCGCCCAATCGTTTTTTTATGCATTTTGAAGTGCGCGCGATCCGGTGTCACTCAGCTCGAGCGCGTAGCTTTGGCTAATGTATAGACGCCATTTTGCCGCCTAAGTCACGCACCGAGTGCGCGAGAGTGTCACGCGCTGGCACACTCAGGTCAACAATGGACGTCCTCACCCTGAGACAGACAGACATGTAGGCACCCTAGCCTCTTGTAAAGCCTCTTGTCTGCCGCTCTACCTTTTTCACTTCCGGCGGCCGCGTCTCGTGGCGATCTGCCAGGCTTTGTCAGTATTAGCGGCGAGATGCTTCGGTGGCGCCCTCCTACGGTTCCCTCTCGTGACGTCATTACCTTGCGAACAACAAGTTCGAGGGTGGTTGTAATGAGCATGGTGGAAGCTTGAAATCATAGCGCTCTGAAACCAACACTGCCAACACCGTCAAAATTGAAGTTCTTACACTATTCTTACTTCCGTCGAAGAGAAATCCTTTGCCGACATCAAAGTTAGCATTCGGCCAATCGTGGAAGGCCGACCACAGCGACGCTTTCGGTCGGGCACGTCACCAATAGAGGAAGCTATGGTACTCACGAGTCACGAGCAAAGGCATCTCCTAGCACGGTGACCGGAATTTGTTGTATCTCGCTCCAATGCTACTTGGCACTAGGAATTACTATTTATATGAAGCCATCGTTACTTATATCAACGAAATAGCAGGTTCTCGAGAGTAACTGAAATATAAACTTTTTGTAAATCAGCCACACACTATACTGGCGACTTGTGTGAACCTTTATTTGACCTGCTTTCACCGCTTCATGTATTTGCCACCGTTCTTTTTTTTTTCAGCTTTTTGTTTTGTTACGGCTCTATCATAACTTCTTCCCAAATAACTAAAATGTAAGAGTGGGTGCAGACAGTGATCCGTGACCACTCCAGGAATTTTCGTAAGCTGGCGTTCAAACAATGGACCTAATATTTGCCACCAAACTGAAAAAAACAAATATATATATTTATATATATCAGCTGGGTGAGTCGCAAGTAGTCCGTTTCAGATTAACATAGATCTATTTAACATTAAGGGCGAAGCTGCTCGCTTATTAACTGGCCTCGAGAGCAGGAAAATTCGCGCGTTGAAAGTCCCCGATAAACCTAACCTCTCGAGAAAAAAGCTCTTGTTAAATTTCAGGTTAACATGGCATACAGTGTGTATCGGTGTAAATATCGAAATAACGGTCCATTTTATAATGATCTATGCAAATATGGGACTTGTGGCGCTGGGTTTCTTAGAATCGGTCGGCAAGCGGGAATTCTTTTTTTTTTTTTTTTTTGCTGAACGATTTTGGCTTTTTATTTCAGCCTCAATGTCGCGAACAAGCTGTGCACTCTAAAAAATGCCCGTGCGTCTACTTTCCCGCACAACACTCGGAGAGTCAACCACCGCAATTACGGAGGCAGCTCAGCGAATGACGATGCCGAACCATATGTTTAGACAAAAAAAAAACGCAGTCTGAGTTGTGACATTAAGCAATGCAAAACGTCACGCTTGCATTGCTTAATGTCACAGCTCAGACTGCGTTTTTTTAGTCTAAACATATATTACGGCGTCGTCATTCGCTGAGCTGCCTCCATAAGTTGCGGTGATTGGCACCCCGGGCTTCGTGCGGGAAAATAGACGCACTGGCTTTTTTTACAGTGTGGCATACCAATGACTTGTCAGCCTACAACTACGCGAAAAACCGATCAAAGCGTACACCCACAGAGGGGTTGGGCACGTGTCGCGGTATCCATTCTCAACGCCGACATCAGAGACATTAGAGAGTTTTAGCGGTTGTTTTTTTTTGCCCCAACAACTATACCTCCTCTCCCCTCCGGCGGCCTTGGGCATGGATCGTATCGTTATCGGGTGTCATTATCGGGCGAAAAAAGCAATCTGCTAAAACTCTCTAGTAGGGACCTTTAGCAAACCGTTGCCGCGTTCGGCGTACCGCACTACCGGAGCCTTTGAAGAATGCTTTGAAGCGCGCGCTTCGCGGTCACGGTACTACCCGGGCGCGCGACTAAAAGTATGCTTCAAAGGCTGAGGAAATGCGGTACGTGGAGCGCGGCAACGGTTTGCTAAAGCTTCCTCTTCACCAAACCGTTACCGTGTTCCGCGTACCGCACTACCGAAGCGTTTGAAGCATGATTTTAAGCGCGCGCCCCACGGTCACGGTATCATGCACTCGTGCTAAACGTCCCTATTGCGCTCGTGGCCAATTCGTAAATGGTATAATGGCATCTCATGTTCACCATTTTGCGCATAAATTATCCAAGTCACACGGCATTTTAAATGCCTTCAGGCCAAAGGTGGTTAAAAAACAATAAAAACCCTAACAATGTCTGGGGTACAGTATGTGATCTCAGCATTGCCAACTCAGGTACATGACTGTGATGATCATAGGCGACATAAGCCGGCGAAAGGGTACCCGACCGCTCGTTCTGGTTGGGAAGTTAATTCTACTTCTTTTTTGTGATCTCCGTAATAGCTATCGAGTGGATCCAAAAATGAAGGGATGTTGTATATTATGAACATCATTGATTACTTGTAATAGGGGTTTCGCAAAATAAAAATGCGGTACATCAATCAAGAGTGGTGGTTACATCATACATCAAAATGAGGCGGAGACACCCATCGGCAAGGACGTCACTTTCAAAGATGAGAAGCTCGCGAATGCGGGAATACGCAGCGAAAATGTCCGTGGCTTGGGCCCGTTTGCTCGAAGCGCTAACCGCGGCTAAAGTTAGCCGCAGTACCTAGGAGAGGGAATTTAAAATCACGTGACCGGCTTGGTAGGGATGCGGGGAAACATGGCGGTGCACCGGTGAGTGAGCGCCGCTCGGCGCTCGCTTTGGAAATAATATGTCGTTGTAGCTGCAATATCGGGCGCGTTAGTCCACAACGAATGGTGCAGGAAGCTTTCGCTTTGCTTTACCTCACTTAAATCGCAAAGCATGAGCAATGACCTCGCCGCATTTTCTAGATAGTCTTTCGATTCTGGCCATTCCTAAGCCTAAATGAACGCGATAATTGTCGGCATGGCAACGTCTATGGAAAGTAGATTGCCTTGACTCAATCGGCCGGGTATTGATAGCACACAAAAGCAGAGAGCGTCCCAATAGATCTTTTTCTCAATTTCCCAAGCACCGAGGTGCACGTACCGAGAGTAGTTACACGCGTTGCACGTGCTGCCATCTGCAGTACTAACTGTTCTAATTCAAAAAGCCTAAAACAAATTTTGCCTTGCACGCGCGTTCGTCAAAGACCATATTATGATTATTTACTTCAAATCTTTTATAAGAGGAAGGCCAGCGCGCGCGGACCGTAGAATTACACTTCCAGCGTTCTTCTCGATGCTTGGGTAATTTAGAAAAAGGTCTATTGGGACGCTGCCTGCTTTTGTGTGCTATCAATACCCGGTCGTTTCCATGCCGACAATTATCGCGTTAATTTGGACTTAGGAATTGCCAGAATCGAAAGACTATCTAAGATATACGGCATGGTCATTGCTAATGCTTTGCGATTTAGGTGAGGGAAGGCAAAGCGAAAGCCTCCTGCACCGTTTGTTGCTGACTAACGTACCCGATAGTGCAGCTACAACGACATATTAGTTCCAAAGCGAGCGGCGCTTACTCACCGGGGCACCGCCATGTTTCCCCGCGTCCCTACCGAGCCCAGTCACGTGATTTCAAAACCCCTCTCCTAGGAACTGCGGCTAACTTTAGCCGCGGTTAGCGCTTCGAGGAAGCGGGCCCTGGAGTCGAAAATGTTAAATAGAAACGGGGATGAAATGTGGTGTTGTGAATGGGATTGTTTGTTAGATGACGTTATACCCTACATTAGATGGCAGGGAGGTGTTATATATGTGGCCGCTTACATCGCAGCTCAGTCTCGTGGATTTGGCAGGAAGCGAACGCCTGGAGAAAAGCGGCCTGGAAGGCAACTACATCAGGGTATGTCTCCAGGTCTTTTTTTTTTTCTTTTTTTTAATATCACAGATATGAAGGAAGTACTGTGAAATCTAATTTTCCTCACAATTTGGCAAAATAACTGAGCCGTACTGACCACTACGCTTGTAGCACGAACAAGCGATCGCCGGTTTTCGCTGTTTCTCTCGTAATGTCGAAAAGCTATCATCAGAAAACTGCTGGCGTGGTAGAAGTGCACATTTGGGACACTAACCTACGCAGTAAAATGTGTTGCCCGACAATATACCGTTTTGAAAAAGCATAGAAAAAAAAGTGCCAGTGTCGTGTTCGCGCTAACACCGTCGCGCAGTGTACGTTCTCTGTTGTAAGCTCTAGAAATCCTGCTCAGTAGCGGACAAGACAGACATCCCAAGATAGTGAGCCTACCGATGCAACAGCTTTTTAGTAATCATTATTATATTTACAATTAGACTTATATGTACTACAATTTAAGTTGTTCTGCCATTATGCAGTATGCTAAGATTTATTAACAATTGTCACGTGACTTTGAAGGAGCCTTCTCGCTTCACTGCATGCTAGAGACGGCAGGTACTTTGCCCCTTTTGTGCGAAATTCAAGTATTTTACAACAAGGTTTGATCAAACAGTGCGAAAATAAGAGGCGGATATATGGGAGAGAGATTTGACGTTACGGACAGATTTGACGTCTCGGGCGAAGGGTTTCCCAGATCTAATTTCTAAACCTAATATTTGCCATCTCACCATGGAAATGAACATTTCTTTATTAAAAAATGATGCATGACATCTTTCTCTCAAAAATAGGAGCCCTTGGGAAACTTAGACGAGGCGGTTCCCTGCCCTCGAAACCCATCCCTTCTTAAATCCGCCTCTGGCGAAAAATTAGGTTGGATTTTGCTCTTCATATCACGTATCTTACCATTTCCTAACGATCAAACACGGTTTTCAAAAACGTTTGATAAATCGGGCTCTGCTTTTTCGCGTTTATTTCTTATTCTTCATTCCTTTTTTTTTTTTTTTTTTTTCTCTCCAGGAAACCAACAGCATCAATAAGTCTCTCTCAGCCCTCGGGGACGTGATCCACGCCCTGGCCGCTCAGCAGTCCCACGTACCGTACCGCAACAACAAACTCACCATGCTGATGCAGGACTCGATCGGAGGCAGCGCGAAGACGCTCATGTTCGTCAACGTGTCCTCCGATGTGGACAACGTCGAAGAAAGTGTCAATTCTCTCGTGTGAGTAGACCTCCGCTCTTTTGCTAACTCCACTTCGCTTAT